ATTAATACTTTTACAAATATACAATATTCTCATCTAATTGTTACTCTTAACTAATCAGGAATGTATTTTAATTTACTTACAGATAACGTCGCATGGGCCTAATTCTGATTCTGTTCTCTAAATTAAAAACAAAATTTTAGACAGTCTCTTATTTGCATTCTCCATAGTAGTTAACTTAGTTTTTCAGAATCCTACAGGAATATAACAAAAGTATCCTATAAAGTATATGTGTACAAAATTTTACCCCAATCCATTCAATATTTGTTGCGTAATTGAGAAACAAACATACAAACTTGCAAATTATTAGGAACACGGAAACGAGCTTTTCATGTGACGCAGTTTTCTATCCTTGCCTTTTTTAAGCGATTGTTTAATAAAGAAAGCGCTCCACTGACTCGTTTCCGTGAGAGAACAGAGTGTATTATCACTATGCTGGCACTTCGCATTCGCATTCGTATTTGCTATGTGAATATTTTATGGTAGCATCTCGTTTTATTTTTGTATAATGAAAAAATAAATAAATTTATAAATATTTATACTGTAACCAAATTATATTAATTTAAAAGTTATTGAAACACTTTTTGGTTAACATATACCACTGTTAGAATGGCTACTGTCTCGTTCTCTCTTCACAACTTGTTCACAAAACAAATATCTCGCCATTACATATACTTTATTATTGTAAGAGTGGATGATTAGGAGATACTGGTACGCAACAGACACATGGTATTACAAAACGAAAATTTTACAAATACTCAATACGAATACCCAAGTGAAGTTAGCAACAAATAAGATATCACAAATATTTTAACAATGAAAATATTAGGATATGCCGTTTAACATTAAAAATAACGGCAAATCTTAAAAAATTAAGATTCTCTAATACTTTTTTGTAGTTATCACTAAAAAAACAAAGTGAAAGAATTAAGGGTTCTACGTACATGTAACGTGAATTTATCGTCTATTCTGCTCGATTTAGTTTAAAATGTCGTAATATGGTACGGAACCAGAAAGTGCCAGCGAGAAAAGCTTTGTAAGAACAGAATTCATGTAAGTAGTATTATTTATTGATAAAATTAATTCGACACAAAATAAACAAAATTAATTTAAACGGCTGATATAGCAATACCATTCGTTTAACTGGTTATTTTTTTATATATATAGTTCCGACAAATGACTCCACCCCACCTGATGTTAAGTGATGGTGAAGTCCAGACGTGAAGATAGCTGACACAGCAGTTCTACCTGCCACACCAGCCATCCTCACCCTGCCGACCTGCATGTTGCTTCTTCACGCCTCTTTTAAAGGATCCCAGGTTGTAAGAAGGAGGGAACACGTGAGCAGGTAGAGCATTCCATTTACGGATAGTGCGACAAAGAAATGAGTCACCAAATTTCTTTGTACGCGTTGGAATAGGGGTGATGACGGGGTACAGTAAACGAAATTCTATTTAGTCCGTCAGTTAGATGATCAAAAAATAATGGACACGTATTTTTTCTTTCGGCAAACAACCAAAAAATGACAAAGTTATAGCGCGGCAAAAATTTGGGAGTAGGGGCTCGTGACGTCACTTTTGAGTAAATTCTCACTTATAAGTGTACTCAAACGTGACGTCATGCGACTTTTTAAATCAATATATTTCTGCAATGTTTATATTATGTGAAAAAAGAAAAAATACGTGTCCAATACTTTTTGATAATTTACCTGATAAACGAAGAAAAATAAATTAGTCATCATCCCTATTGTGGTCACAGTTAGACGGTGACACAGAAGGCCAGCGCGCGTGGTCCTCTGAAGGAAAGGGGAAGGTGGAATAAGAGAGAATAACTCTTCAGAACACTCGCCGTGGTACAGACGAAAGAACACGCTTAGTGACGCCACGTTACGGCGTAATAGGCCAGTTGACCCTTTTTGGAAAAAGGTTTTAAATGGTTAATAAATGTTCTATTAGACCGAAAAAAAATGTATTGTATTTTTTTGAGACCTAGAAAGCTACAAATCTTTAATTTTAAAATAGACTTTTCATGGACATACAAAAACGCTGTCGGCCATTTTAATCTATAGATTATCTATGCTATGACGTTGACGGTAGTAAACAAAAACTCGTAAGCACGTAGAAAATAACCTATCTGAGTTTATAATAAAAAGAAAACATAATTTCTAATAGATACCACGAAAAATATAGTAATTATCATTATTGTATTGTACGAGAATGTAAAAACATATCCTTGAAGACTCCAGGAAAGTTGTGGATTAAAGTGCCGAAAGAAATTAACCTACGCAATACCTGGTTAGAACTTGCTAAAAGTGATCCTGCAACTTTATCGACTCATAGTAAAATTTATTTTTGCGAAGATCACTATGATGTAAGTACTCATTGAATAATATTTTAATTCTCTTCATTTATTATCAGTTTTAATAATACAAGTTTTAAAGTTATGTATGAATGACATTTAGTTGTTTACTAAAAGAGACGTCACAATCATGGCGGATGTGGCGAACAGCGTTTTTAGTGTTTAAAAAGTATAGACTAAAAAATATTTTTTTAAATTAAATTTCTACAGCAATCTTCTGCTTCTATGAAGTGAAATCGATATATTTAGGTTCCTTACATTAAATACTTTAAGAAATAAACATTTATTTAAAACAATTCGACATGAGTCAACTAGCCTATTAAAGAGGCTCGAGGTGTTCGAGCAAGTACTTGGCGGAGCCATCCCAGAGGTGCAAGCAATATTCCACGCAAGACCGCACTTGCGTCTTATGATAAAAGTGTAGTGTAGATAAAATAAGAGTGACCTTATTTTATTAGAAAACAAACAAAGAAAGAAAAATAAAGTTATTTGAGACAAAACAACAGTAAATATATATATATATATATACCAGCTGTCCCAGCGAACTTCGTACCGCCATAAAAGGGGTAGATTATTAGGGGTTGATTGTAAAGAGTTGAAAATTCAGGGTTATATGTATTTACTAATGCTGTATCATAAAAAAAATAAAAAAATAAATTATCTTAAATTGAAAAAAAAAATAGGGGTGGATTACCCTTAAAATTTAGGGGGATGAAAAATAGATGTTGTTCGATTCTCAGACCTACCCAATATGCACACAAAATTTCATGAGAATCGGAAAAGCCGTTTCGGAGGAGTTTAACCACAAACACCGCGACACGAGAATTTTATATATTAGATAAACAAAACACACATAATTTTTTGTCTCAAATCGGTCCCAACTCAGCATGCGCTGATGTTGCCAGTAGAGATTAAATAGCACTATGTTTTTCTTTGTCGTAGTGAAGTGTAGTACAACTGCAGTAGCGTTAATGACGTTCCGTTTCGCTCATGTAAATCAAACTAGAGTGACCTTATAACAAAACGTGTGTAAAATATTTAAAATCATATAAACATTTCTGTTAATTATTGTAAAGTATAAAACGGCTATTTAAGCATTGAATACGTTCCGTTTCATTCATCGAAATCAAACTAAAGTTACGTAACATTTTAATCGTGTACAGCAAAGTACAGTGACCTTACATTGGAGAGAATTGAAGTACGGCTGCTACAGCATCGATAACGTTCCGTTTCACTCATGTAAGTAACTTGAAGTTGCGTTCCGTTTCACTCATGTAAGTAACTTAAAGTAAAGTTGCGTTCCGTTTCACTCATGTAAGTAACTTGAAGTAAAGTTGCGTTCCGTTTCACTTATGTAAATTACACCACAGTAACCCTATATTAGAGCGTAAATAACACCATACTACTCTTCGTCGTATTGAAATACAATACTGCTGCTATGGTGTTGAGCATATGTTTCCTGCTCGCGTAGTCTGTGGACATGAGATACGCCATCACTACGTTCTTGGGGTATTCCCAGTTTGCACCGTTTGACATTTTAAAATCTTTAAATAAAGAAAATTAATGAAAGCGCCCACTATCGTGTTGATTGTGTTCCGTTTCACTCATGAAAATTACACTACAATGACCTTATATCAGAGATAAGTATCACACGGCTGCTTTAGAGTTGATTACCTACGTTCCATTTCACTCATTGATTACGTTCTGTTCTACTCATGTAAATCAAATTGCAGTTAGCTTATATCAAAACGTGGACACCACCATGCTGTTCCCTGTTATTCAAAAGTCTGTATTAGCGATGATTACGTTCCGTTTCACTCATCTAAATCGAACCAGTTACTTTACATTTTAATTAGTGCAGCAAACTACAGTGAACTTACATCAGAGAGAAGTAAAGTACGGCTGCTACAGCGTCGATAACGTTCCGTTTCACTCATGTAAGTAACTTAAACTAAATTTGCGTTCCGTTTCACTCGTGTAAATTACACCACAGTAACCCTATATCAGAGCGTGGATAACACCATATTTCTCTCCGTCGTAGTGAAATGCAATACTGCTGCTATGGCATTGAGCATATGTTTCCTGCCCGCGTAGTCTGTGGACATGAGATACGCCATCACTACATTCTTGGGGTATTCCCAGTTTGCACCGTTTGACATTTTAAAATCTTTAAATAAAGAAAATTAATGAAAGCGCCTACTATCGTGTTGATTGAGTTCCGTTTCACTCATGGAAATGTAGTGTACCTTTCAGTAATTTCAATGACCTTATATCAGAGAGAAGTATGCTACACACGGCTGCTTTAGAGTTGATTACCTACGTTCCATTTCACTCATTGATTACGTTCTGTTCTACTCATGTAAATCAAATTGCAGTTAGCTTATATCAAAACGTGGACACCACCATGCTGTTCCCTGTTATTCAAAAGTCTGTATTAGCGATGATTACGTTCCGTTTCACTCATCTAAATCGAACCAGTTACTTTACATTTTAATTAGTGCAGCAAACTACAGTGAACTTACATCAGAGAGAAGTAAAGTACGGCTGCTACAGCGTCGATAACGTTCCGTTTCACTCATGTAAGTAACTTAAACTAAATTTGCGTTCCGTTTCACTCGTGTAAATTACACCACAGTAACCCTATATCAGAGCGTGGATAACACCATATTTCTCTCCGTCGTAGTGAAATGCAATACTGCTGCTATGGCATTGAGCATATGTTTCCTGCCCGCATAGTCTGTGGACATGAGATACGCCATCACTACATTCTTGAGGTATTCCAGGTTCGCACCTTCACGGGATTGTATTCTTCTTAACCTAGGAACAAAATTAAACTCAAATTCAATATCCTTTATTCAGTCTGGGCTGGTACAAGCACTTGTGAATATTGAAAAGCTACGCAATCGGTTTGCAAATCTACGGCGGGAGATCTTGTACTGAGAAGAACCGGCAAGAGACTCAGCAAGCGTTGTTTATTTCTCTCTGTATTATATACAGAATATATAATACAAGGAAGGAGAAGGAAATGCGAAAGTGTGTCTTTATAGCAATCGTTAAAATTTTGGGTAAAGACAATTGTATTAAAAACAAACTTTTCTGGTTACTTTTTAAATAATTCCAGCAGTCAATCGTTTTATTAATGATGTTCAGAAAAAAATGTTGAATTTAAATTACAACAACATTCATATATCTATATAATTTTTTTTGCTACTGCGGCCCTGATGTCCGGGCCGAATTTCCACTAGCCTTAGACTGCATGGCAGCGCCATAGGTTCGTGTCCCGTCTGCTGCCTGGTCAACGTGGAATTTTTTCTAGTATAATTTTCTCTAGTTATAAAAGTGTAGCAGTTAAATGCTTAAAAAATATAACAGTCATATAATGTACTTAATATATTATCTTACCTGTCGATTTCCTCCTTCAATGTTCTCACAACTTCTTTGAATCTCACTTTCTCTATAGTTGCTTCTCTTTGGCAGTCCCTGTAATGTCAAACAACAGTAAATTAATTTAGTATTTATTTTAAACATTTAACTGCTATATGTTTAAGTCGAAATATTTTTTTATTATTAATATTATTGGTCAGTGCAACCGCCCGGATAGCAAAGGCTGCGGGTTCGATTCCCGTCTTCTGCCTGAACCGCGTAGATTCTTTTCTTCTTTTCTAACAGTATATTATTCTCAGAACAAGAATTAAAGCATATAAATAATGATATGACGTTTGAGTGAACATTCCCATACTGCTGACCTCAAACTAAAATGCGGCTAAGAGACATGGGGTCGATTTTTCAGTCTTAAATTGCATCGTATACAGTTTTTAATCCTCTATCGATCTGTCTATAACAAGTATTCGTATCTTTTTTAGTTTAAGTCTAAAAATCCGTCATGTGATGAATGGTTACAAAATAGCAATAATTTAAAGTTTACGTGCAGTTTTTTGGCCATATCTCACAAGTTGTTTTTGTCATTTAGCCGCGTTTTAGTTTGAGGACGACAGCATAGACAATAGATGAACGAAAAGATTTCCAAACAAATCATTACCCGACCAAAAAGTATTATTAGCGTGTTGGTAGTTTGCATTTGACATTAGATCACTTTTTGATATGGTATCGTAAAAGTACCAAGTCATTCAAAAACCATACAAAGGTGTCTAATTAGACGTTTGTATTGAGGTTAGCACGCTGTTCATAGTATGGTTCATAGCAACATACATTTGTCCCTTTTTGGTCTATATGTAAAAATAAGATAACTATGTGAGTAGACTTTATGAGTTGAATTAAAAACTCTTCCTATGCTTTAGTTCTTGTTCTGAGAAATCAATAGAGTTTAATTTGGCAAAAAATCATCTAGTTGCTGTTGGTCGCAGATAGGGTCACCAGATGATAAAATGAAAAGTCCGGAGAAAAGGTTTGATTTCCATTGAAAAATCCTGAGATTTTTTACAGTTTGAGAATTTTCTCTCAAACGTACTTAACAATTTAAAAAAAGTCGTAATATTATCGTTTATACTGTGCTTATACTTTTAAATCAATATAATTTGAAGAGCTTAAGATGTGGGGCATAATATGAATGTTTAATTAAAGAAAAAACCTTACTTAAAAATGTATCTTCAGATATTAAGTATGATAAAACTGATTAAGTACTGACTTGGATAATAAAGTACTGATTTTAATTGTGCAATTAGGTATTACCAATAGAAGATTATTTTAGTTTGTTTTTAAGAAGATTTTTATTAAAGAGGTCTTTAAAACGTAAGCTGTATTTTATTGGAAATTCAAAAAATCTTGAGATTTCATGAGATTTGCAAAATCCAGCCGCAATCCTGAGAAGAGTCCAAAAATCCTGAAATCTCAGGACAAATCCTAAGATATGGTAACCCTAGTCGCAGATGACCTTTAAAGCGTCAGCGGGTTTGGGGACGGCGAGATCCTAAGGGAACCTCAAGCCGAGAATTTGCGAGTGCCTCTAAAGGTATTCCAGGCGGATGGCATCTCCTCGCCACGGGGGGAGTCTCCTCTCCACGGGGAGAGTCTCCTCTCCATCTGTAGCCTCTGACCATCTGTAGACCACTAAAACCTGAGGGGGTCTCTGATACTCGGAGCTCGGCTCTAGTTAGCCGTTGTCGTGGGGGGAGGGGAAAAACGTCCAGATACATAAATACCTGTACCTGGTATAGCGTGTCGTGTGTATACCGGGTCTTCGCACTCTAATCCTACGGGTGCGGTGTCTGCCTAATAAGCATTAGCTAAGCAGCTAGTGTGCAAGTATGCTAGCTGTGTAGTGTTGGTGTTTGTGGCCTGTGTGGGAGGAGTCGGAGGCAAGACTGAAGACTAAATAACATTATGATTCAGTATATAATACAACGATATAAAATAGCCTAGATACACCAACACGAACGAAATCGTGGCCGTAACCTGTCCAAAAGGTGCATTGGATAATCCAAGGAGCTCCGCAAGATGATCGCGTAGTCAAAAAGATTTTATGGCATTTTTTAAACATTGAATGTCACCTTAAAACATGCTGTATAAGGTCTTAATTAAAACGCAAACGTCAAAAAGTTATGACAGTTCGAAATACATACTTTTAAGAAAAAATAATAATTTGTTTCTTAAAAACAGTGATGTTCACACACTTAATACAAGAAAAAAAAAATGGTTGCCTGTAAAGTCGGTTTTACGGGCGAAGATTTTACGTGACAACGTCTTTTTCTCGGTAGAATATTTATTGATATGAATATAATTAAATTGCACAATAGGAACAAGGAATTGAATGAAAATAAGAATTGCACAAATTTTAACTATAGAAATATATTTTGTTTACTAAAACATTGTACATGTAAACTTAAACTTAACACGAGAGACTCATCGTAACGTTACCGAGCGTTACACTTTTTCATAAGTGACTCCCAGCCGCAACCTAATTTAAGACGTTGTCACGTCAAAAATAAACTAACTTTACCAGCTACTAGGCTTCACAAATTTAAAGGTCTTTGTGTTCGCTTATACAATAAAATCCCAAGCAATATCCAAGAGTTAAACATAAATAAATTCAAAGATAGTATAAAAAAAGCACTTATTAAAAAAGCTTATTACAAAGTGTCTGATTATATTACAGACAAAAATGCTTGGGTTTGAACTGTTCCAATCATTCCAACAGGTTCCTATATTAAATAAATCATGATTGTATTGACGTTGTAACAACATAATGATTTGTAAATGTTGTTACATTATTCTTTTAATGTTGTGGAGTTTTTTTCGCTCGTTTTTCTCCGCAGCTAAAAAATATGTCTAATAACGAGTGGTAGGGAAAAAAATGTTTGGACGATTCAAAAGTGTTGTACTATACATCCAATTTGAATAAAGATATATTGATTTCTGATTTTTGATACCTGTACCTGGTATAGCGTGTCGTGTGTGGGTCTTCGCATTCTAATCCTACGGGTGCGGCGTCTGCCTAATGCTTAGCTAGTGTGCAAGTATGCTAGCTGTGTATAGGGACACGAAAAAAGTATCGATACTTTGTGGTATCGAGTACTTTTCCTTTCGATATTGATACTTTTGTACTCGATACTTGGTTTTCGATACTTCAACTAAATGGTACTTTTTGGCAAGTATCGATACCTTTAAAATTTTGGATAAGCGCCTTATATTGATGGCAACGCCATCTGGTGGAATCATAGCAAACCTTCTAAAACATTCCATTGCGTTGATATAATTGGAAGCACAAGCAATCTAGTGTATCCTGAGACTTAAGTACTTGAATTACGCACGTTTAGTTTTGAAGTTGATTATATTAACATTAAATTTTTTTTAACAGTCTCTACTATTTTGTTTTTGATTATACGCACTATAATAAAATTTTATTGGTTTTCTTTTTATTTTAACCCGATGGGGGGGGGGGGGTTGCTCATAAGGCGTTATGAAATGTACTCGATACTTCGAAGTATCGATACTTTTGTTTCAATACTTTTACGAGTACGATACTTTTTTTCTTTTTTTCCGATACTACTCATGAGTACAGTATCGATACTTTCTATTCGATATCGTGTCCCTAGCTGTGTAGTGTTGGTGTTTGTGGCCTGTGAGGGAGGAGTCGAAGGCGACCGACTGATGTTAGTCGGGCATTGCATATATGGAGTGTTAGCCTCCGAATTTCACTTGCGCGGTGTAGGTTGTAAGCGCAGCGCCGGTAGCGCCATCTCTTGAGGAGGCGAGTGATTATTTTCCTCCATGTTGGTTATATTTATTTATTTTAAACTTTATTGACCAAAATACAATAGAATGTTACGAAAGGCGGACTTAATGCTAATAGCATTCTCTCCCAGTCAACCTTTGGGAAAAAAAGGAAAAACGCGAACGGCGCTATAAAGCTAAATATACACATAAATATTGTAAGGGAACTTGCAGCAATGATTGGAGTATGCGAAACAAGTATTTTGAATACTCTACATCATCATCTTGGGATGACTAAGGTCAGTGCAAGATGGGTTCCGAGAATGCTTACGCCACTTCAAAAACGCGAGCGTGTCGAGTATTCTCGCCAGTTTTTGGAGCTCTGTGGAGAGAGAAAGGAAGAAGTCATGGCCCGAATCGTTACTGGTGATGAAACCTGGGTTCACCACTATGAACCCGAGTCAAAGCAAGAGTCGATGCAGTGGCACAAAAATGGCACACCTCCTCCAAAGAAGTTCAAAGTGACACAATCGGCTGGCAAGATCATGGCGACTGTCTTTTGGGATACAGAAGGTATTTTACTGATCGATTATAAAGAACGTGGTGTGCCTATAACGGGACAGTACGACGCTTCTTTACTAGAAAGATTTAAAGAAGCCATCAAGGAAAAAAGAAGAGGAAAGCTGTCAAAAGGTGTGCTCCTTCTGCACGACAATGCACCCGTTTACACGTGCCATGTTGCGATGGCTGCCATTCACCAAAGCGGCTTCGAAGAATTGAACCACCCACCCTACAGTCCAGGCTTGACACCGTGTGACTATAATTTATTTCCAAAAATGAAGAAAGAGCTGCGTGGAAAAAAAAATGACAACGATGAAGAAGTGAAGTCCGCAATTTCGGCCTATTTTGACACCAAAGACAAATCATTTTTTTTTTCGATGGTATAAACAAGTTATTTGAGAGATCTGAAAAATGTATTAGGGTTAAGGGAGAATATATTGAAAAGGAAAAATAGTTTGGTGTTTAATTTCAACCTCCTTCCCTCTTATTCCGCGAACTTTTTGACCTCCCCTCGTATATACACACTCTGGAGGAGCTCGATGGCGCAGGTGGTTAGCGCGTTCGGCTGCGATCGTTGTGGTTAAGCAACTTTCGCGGTGGTCGGTCATTGGATGGGTGACCAAAAATTTCTATCTCGAGTTCCTCCGTGCTTCGGAAGGCACGTTAAGCCGTTGGTCCCGGTTGCATCTGCAGTCGTTAGTACCCACCAATCCGCACTGGGCCCGCGTGGTGGGTCATGGCCCAATCTCCCTATTCCATCCATAGGGAAGGCCTGTGCCCCAGCAGTGGGGACATTAATAGGCTGATGATGATGATGATGTAGATATCCCCACCACATTTACATGGAACTTACCTGTATTGCCCTTCCAACGCGTGTTTCTCCTTCCTTAGCTGCGTTATGTCGAGATCTTTTCGAGCTAATTCATGAGCATAGTGGAGCATATGCGGTGGCGCAGTCACATCCTAAAATAAAACAGAATTATACTGAAGATAAAGTTTATTCTTCTGTCTATTTACCGTTCATATAGCATATTTTGCTCTACTTGAGAGATAGTTTAAGCAAAATGGAGTCAAAAAGTGTTAGTTTCAGTTCATAATGTCACAAACGCTCTCAAAAAGTAACCGCGAAAGTGCCAGAGATCGAATTTGCCAGATCACCGCGGGTCGCGATAAAGGTCGAGTAATGCGGCTCATTCTGAAATGAGCCTTATGCAGTGCGACGTAAGGGAGAAAGTGCAACGACATCTGCACTTGTTTACAAGTTATGCGTGTTACCTGTGTAGGTATAAGTAGGTATTTCGTACTCGCGGGTGCTAGGTAATTCTCAATTTAACAGGTTCTTTATAGAATGCGTCGATCGGCGTATATAAGCGCGATTGGCGCCGCGCAGCGACAGTTGAGTTTCAACAGCGATTTCGGAGCGAATCCAAACGCGATCAAAGTGCAACAAAAGTGTTCAAGTGCGATAGTTTAGAGACTTGTATAGTGAAATACAGTGTTTAGTCAGTGTTTTGTGATTAACATTGTGTGTTAATTGTGTGAACTGCGTGGTGAATAAATAACTGTCAAGCGTGAACTGGCATATAATTTCGAACCCCATTCCGACACGTAACAATAAAATAACAAAATGCACACGAAAATTCAATTCAAAGTTTTCAGTTTTTATTATCTGCTTTAAAACACGATGAAATAGTAGACGTATAGTAGCGGCACGCTATGATGGCCATGGAGGTTAGAGAGAAGGGGAACGATCGCTACGTGCTAAAGCATTATCCCGCCTGTCCCTGAAATTGTGTAGCATTTATAGTTCATTTTTCAGCCACCAGCCGCGCTGCCGTCGGTAAGTAGTATCTGTGAAGTTAGCTGTTTATGAGTACAAGTAGATGAAGTTAGTTGAATAATGTACGGTTTTCAAATTAGCGCACAACAGCCCGATTTTATTGAGACAACTTAGCGATCGCAGCGCCTCACTTATTTTGTCCATATTTCTGGGACACTATTTTCTACAGTGATCGTTCTCCTTCTCTCTAACCTCCAGGGCCTGTTTACCGGTTAATTTTCAAACCTCAATCAGTATCAAGTATATAAGAAGCGTTTTATTTAGGTTTGGCTCTACCTTAACCTAAAAAAACCGGTTTTCCTAAAAGCGAAATCAAATAGGTTTTGAATCAATTTAGCGATTTTTAAATGGTTTCATTTCGCTCTTAGTGACGGCATCGCCGTTGCCGTTTCAATTCATAATGATTTTATGTCAGTTTCTTTCCAACTACAGAGCGAGTGAGTGAAGTAGTGTATCAGTACACAACTACAAAATGAATAACTTGACTCACTAGACGCTAGCAAACGTGTCAATAAATGCTTCAATCTCTGAGCATTAACAAGTTGTGTCTTGATTAGTTCAAACAAAACAAACTTCAAGCGATGCTGACGCATGCACGTGTCACTGTGGATTAAACCGGTTTATTAAGTTTTAGATACCGCTTTCATTCGGACGCGCTCCAAACGAAACCTTTACTAAAAACCGGTATTAACCTTTATTTACCGGTATTTTCGAAACCGGTTAAAAGCCCTGCTAACCTCCATTATAATGGTCGTTTTGACGTTTGTGCGCCCATAAAGCATTCATATTCGAAATTAGTTCTACTCAATATGAAAAGTATGATTTCGATGTTTCCTCATGAAACAAATCACTTACCGCCAGCACTCCTTCCTTCCATTGTCCGTCTTCCACGCTAACCTTCCTAGACCTATCGTTCTTGGCTCTAACGAAACTATCAGTCTCCTCCAAAAGCGCAGAGTATCTGTCCCGTTGAGTTAACACTTGTTTCTCTAAGCTTTGTACTCGCGCTTTCAGGTCTGAAGTCACTTCCTTGTGGTAGTCTTGTTCGCTCTTCAGTTTCTATAAACAAAGAAAATATAATTAGAAAGATATCCACGCGGACCAGGCAGTAGACGGGACTCGAACCCGCACCCTTCGCTATCAGGACGAATGCAGTGACCAATTGTGTATAAGCATCAAAATTAAATGCTCGATGTTTAAATCTGAAGAATTAGATTTGAACATCGACCAGTTAGTTACATGCTTAAAAAAATAAAATTATACCTATAATTGTTATTTCTTCTTTCAAATGTTTAGTACTTGTAAAGGTATTCATTTGACATTGTGGGTTACCTACAATGCGAAGAGATGGCGCTGCCTTGCAGCTTAAGAAAGGCTAGAGAAAATTCGACACAGCCATCAAGGCCGCGGTAGCATGATTGGTCAGTGCAATCGCCCGGATTACGAAGGGTGCGGGTTCGAGTCCCGTCTGCTGCCTAGTCCGCGAGGAATTTTTTTAGTCACATTTTCTTTAGATTTAAACATCGAGCAGTAACATGATTAAAAAATTAAAATCAAACAATATAAAAAAATATTATCACACTCATCTCGGTTAGCCTAGCACGAATAGGAATGTGAAACAAGTCTCAAAATCTATTTAAAAATCAAGGATTGAAAACTACATCACACGAGAAACAGTCCCCTTTCTCGCGTGATGCAGTTTTCAATCCTCGGCAGTACAGTAATGGTACACAGTACTGTCATGACATGACATTTGACAAGTTTTTGAAAACGTTCATACGTTATTTATTAGTGTAGTGTAGTTACTCCATAAAAAGAAAATGTGAATGAATATGTATGAATATTTATAATTCAGTTAAAAAGTTTAAGTAAAAAAAAAATGTTTTATTATGGCGCGGAAACTAGCAAATATGGCGTGTTTACAGGCAGATGACGTCACACGTCTCCCATTAAAAACTCAAACAGTACAAAATAATGTCACTTCATCAGGATGAGTACAAGTGGGGGACGTCATTCTAGGCTCCGCCAATCATAGACATTTTCGGTCACGTGATTATAGATCAAAAATACTTTTCAATTTCATAATTTTTAGTAATAATATTAACTACTTTTGTCAGAATAGTGAAATCCCTCCCTAATATTCATGTTTCATACACATCCCAATAATTGCTTCTTTATTTTTTATACTGTCAAATAGGCTTTTGCACGAAATATAAAATGATCTATAAAATGATCACTAACCTCTTCATACATTTTCAAAGTGTCCATTTTGTCCTGCTTCTCCTGTTCCAACATCATTCTGTACGTCTCAACTTTCTCTTTCAATATCTCCATCTCGTTCCTCAAATCTTCTATCTCGCTTTGGTCCTCTTCGCTGCCGTTTGTGGTCTTGATGTTTTGAATTTTATACGCTTCGAATTCCGCTTTGACGCTTTCCAATTCTTCTTTACATTTATTGTGTATCGTTTCATAGCCATCGACTTTTAGAACTGCGCCTATATCTATGGGAGTGCCTAGTTTGTCGTTTTCAGATATTAGTTCTTTTTTGAGTATATGAATTTTGTCTATTAGTGTTTGAAGGTATTCGCTGTCGGCTAGCTTTTCACTGTCAGTCTCGCTTTTCGGCTTGTCTTCGGCTGTAAATTAATTGTTAATTTTAAATGTCACATTTTTATGTGATACATTCTCTTGTAACACAGTGGTGATGGTAAACGTATAAGAGGAATTTAGGTCTTCACTGGAGGAGGTTTCAAAATGGCAGGGCAGATTCCCAAAAAAGTTTAGTTTTATAGCTATTAACGGGACTGTTACCATGTACCTTGTATTTACTATATATTGGCCAAACGAAGCGGACAATAGCGTGCCGTATGAAAGAACACATAAAAGCAGTCAGAAACAATGATACGCAGAAATCAGCTATCGCGGAACATTTCGAGCCGTTACCGCCAAATTATCGTAAGCGACACTTTTGTCGAAATGCGTTTTTTGTGGAAACTAATATTTTAAACCGTAACGGACCCATCTCTATTGATATGTCCCTCCAAAAGAACACCGTTATAATATAATAGAGGGAAGAATAGAGGGAAATATCAACAGAGATGGGTCCGTTACGGTTTAAAATATTAGTTTCCACAAAAAATGCATTTCGACAAAAATGTCGCTTACGATAATTTGGCGGTAACGGCTCGATTTAATCGATTCGGGTCCTAATCATTGGATTGAGCTCCATAATCCACAAATCATATTGGAATTAGAAGCGTATGAACCACTACATACCAAGATTGGTCAGGGAAGCGATTGAAATAACCAAACACAAAAATTTCAATCGTGAGGATGGGTTTAAATTGTCAAGTGTCTGGAATCCAGTGGTTCGTATGTGCAAAAACCGTAAAAATCAAAAAAGTGTCGTTCCGCGATCTGATACTGTGAGTATTGTGTGTCGGGAACAGGTGCGAGTGAATAGTGAGAATGTGACCAATGGTAGGGGTATCGAGAGCAGTATAAAACGACGTCAGAGGGTAGACCGATATGTCTGCCAATAACATCTACCCGCAATTACTTCAGTTACTCCGTGATCATGGCGCTTGCAACAGTGCCGAAACATCGGAGACTCATAAAAAACAAGGTACATGGTAACAATCCCGTTAATAGCTATAAAGTTTAGTTTTATTTTATTACTTTTAATGAACGAGTGCCATGCTTGACTTGATTGAAGCCATGTTAAACTGTCAATTCTAATGCGTTGTCAGCCTTTAGCATTAATTAATACGCGCTACGGACTACGAAATTTGCCATCGCTTGGGATATTGATTAAGGAATCTGAAAATTCTATCTAATATATAAAATTCTCGTGTCGCGGTGTTTGTGGTTAAACTCCTCCGAAACGGCTCGACCGACTTTCGTGAAATAATATAAAATTCTCGTGTCGCGGTGTTTGTGGTTAAACTCCTCCGAAACGGCTCGACCGACTTTCGTGAAATTTTATATGCATATTCAGTAGGTCTGAGAATCGGATGTAATCTATTTTTCATCCCCCTAAATGTTAAGGGTAATCCACCCCTAAATTTTTTTTTTATTTTAGATATTTTTTTTAATTTTTTTATGATACATCATACAAAAATACATACATAGGGATGTATTTTCAACTTTCTACCACCAACCCCTATTTTTTTATGGCGGTACGAAGTTCGCTGGGTCAGCTAGTTTATTTATATGATACTTTCCTGACGTCAGCGTCTCAAATACTTTTTTTTTCAAGTGAAAAGGGTGGAATACAGACTTGTAACCCGCCTGATGCTAAGCGGCCGAATTATCAGCGATAATATAACTGTGACTCACCATACTCGTTAGATGTGGAAGCGATCCTATCCATCAAACTGCCGTTGAGGGAATCCTTCAGCTGTTGTATGATATTTTGTTCTCGTCGGCATCGCTAGTCATATTGAGTATAGAAGTAATCTTGCGATTTTCTCAAATTAAATCACTGTCAAGCTTATTATAAGTGAAATTTAACTGTGACTCACCAATTCTTTCCATCAGGCTGTCTTTGAGAAAATCCTTCATCTTTAGGACAAATCTTCCGAGTTTTTCAAGTAAAATGACCAATTTTTCTGGGCTAGCATATAATTAGTAACTTAATTAACAGTGACTCACCATAGGTACTCATTAGAAGTGGAAGCGATCATGTCCATCAGGCTGCCGTTTAAGGAATCCTTCATTTTTAGCACGAATCTTTCGATTCTCTCCAGGGGGCCATTCTCCTAACGGAAATGCTTTGGAAAACGCTAACGCTTTCGATTTTATTTTGTTATTTCGGACCGCCGAAGGTTTTTAAAAACCTCACGCTCATTTTTTTAATATTGTTATTACTAATGCAAAAGAGCGCGAGGCATTTGAAAATCTCAGGCGGCTAGAAATAACAAAATAAAATCGTAAGCGTTTGCGTTTTCCAAAGCATTTCCGTTAGGCGAATGGCCCCCAGTTAAACCGAATTTATTTTCTTGCCTGAAATATTATCAGCGATAATATAATTGTGACTCACCATACTCGTTAGATGTGGAAGCGATCCTATCCATCAAACTGCCGTTGAGGGAATCCTTCAGCTGTTGTATGATGGTTTGGTCTCGACGGCGTCGCAAGTCATATTGCCCCACAGTATGGGACAACTCTGCGATCTTGCCTTCGAGTAAAGCCACGCGTTCCTCTTGTCTAGCGCAGATTTTCCGAGCGGATTCCTCGGCACGTTTCGCCTTTATTTGCTCCTAAATTGAATATGAAAAAAGATACATTTTAAATAAAGACAAAAATTATTAAACGACGACGTCAGAGGGTAGACCGATATGTCTGCCCATAACACCTATCCGCAATTACTTCAGTTACTCCGTGTTCGTGGCGCTTGCAACAGTGCCGAAATATCGGAGACTCATAAAAATCAAGGTACATGGTAACAATCCCGTTAATAGCTATAATGTTAGTGACCATGAAAGTTTAAAACAATATAAAGATTATAATCTTTAATTTTTTTAAAGCATATAACTGCTTGATGTTTAAATCTAAAGAAAATATAACTAGAAAAAATTCCACGCGGACCAGGCAGCAGACGGGACTCGAACCCGCGCCCTTCGCAATCCGGGCGAATGCACTGACCAATTATGCTACCGCGGCCCTCACGGACCGCGTCGAAATTCCTCTAGTCATTCTTAAGCTGCAAGGCAGCGCCATCTCTTCGCATTATAGGTAACCCACAATGTCCTGTGTCCACATCCTTTTTGCAAAAAGGGTTAACTAGCCTATTAGTGGCGTGAATTTTCCTAAACACCCACATTGTATAGTGAAGGCGTTACCTCTGATTCTAAACCAAGAACCACCTGTCACCATAGTATAGCTTCTGAACAACAGCTTGACCTGTTACTGAAGTTTCCGAATAGGCTGTAAGCGAGCTTGTAATGTTTCCGAATAGGCTAAAACAAACATCTTATATTCCCTAACAACAAGAAGGTAAGTTGGACCCGTTTCCGAAACAGGAACAGCTTGTCACTCTAGTTTCCGAACAACAACTTCATCTGACACTAATGTTTCCGAACAAGGCAAAGGCATTTACTCCTGTTTCTGTACCAGTAACCACCTGTCACTAAAGTTTTTTGGAAAACTATTTTAGAAGCGTGCCTAAAGAACGCTTGACTTGGCGAATGTGTTACGATTTTAGCGTTACGATTAGTGTCATCGGTGACCCATCGGTAAACAATGACCAATACCCGTCACAAAATACACGAATCTAGTGCTTGGTGGGTGATAACGGACCTAGCGCGGAATGGTGGTTTTTTTCTATGAACAAATCTATCAGATCATTGGAGCTAAAGAAGTTTCACTTCAGTCGTGTGGTCATAAGCAACTCGTTTTTTTTAATGCTATTTCTAAGAATACTGACCTCTCTAATGGCTATAGAATGCGATTGCTCCAGTAAAGCCAGCTTCTGTTGTAATCTACTACATATTTCTTAGAATACTGACCTCTCTAATGGCTATAGAATGCGATTGCTCCAGTAAAGCCAGCTTCTGTTGTAATCTACTACATATTTCTTAGAATACTGACCTCTCTAATGGCTATAGAATGCGATTGCTCCAGTAAAGCCAGCTTCTGTTGTAATCTACTACATATTTCTTAGAATACTGACCTCTCTAATGGCTATAGAATGCGATTGCTCCAGTAAGGCCAGCTTCTGTTGTAATCTACTACATATTTCTTAGAATACTGACCTCTCTAATGGCTATAGAATGCGATTGCTCCAGTAAAGCCAGCTTCTGTTGTAATCTACTACATATTTCTTAGAATACTGACCTCTCTAATGGCTATAGAATGCGATTGCTCCAGTAAAGCCAGCTTCTGTTGTAATCTACTACATATTTCTTAGAATACTGACCTCTCTAATGGCTATAGAATGCGATTGCTCCAGTAAGGCCAGCTTCTGTTGTAATCTACTACATATTTCTTAGAATACTGACCTCTCTAATGGCTATAGAATGCGATTGCTCCAGTAAGGCCAGCTTCTGTTGTAATCTACTACATATTTCTTAGAATACTGACCTCTCTAATGGCTATAGAATGCGATTGCTCCAGTAAGGCCAGCTTCTGTTGTAATCGCACGAGTAGAGCAGGCGTTTCCACGGTGCGAGCCTCCGCTCGTTGCAAGCGACGCTGGGACGCTTCTAGAGAACTGCTTAAATCGCGAACGCGTTTCTCCAATTCAGCTTGGGACGCTGAAGAAAAATAGATCAGGTTTTATTTACATACTAGCGGCCGCCCGCGACTTCGTACGCGTGGAGTTAGTCTATATATATAAAACTCAAAGGTGAGTGACTGACATAGTGATCTATCAACGCACAGCCCAAACTACTGGATGGATCCGGCTGAAATTCGGCATGCAGGTAGATGTTATGACGTAGGCATCTACTAAGAAAGGATTTTGATCAATTCTACCCCCAAGGGGATAAAATAGGGAATGACAGTTTGTATGAAACTTTGTCAATTTTAAACTGATCGGGCTGAGACTTTGCATGCAGGTTGTAATATTAAAAAATAAAAAGTTTGAGAGAAATTTACTAAATGGATAGGTCGAAATTTATGAAAAAAAAGAATACTCGGGCGCCAGACCCATACCATATTATTAAACCATATTAGCCGGGAAAGCAATGAACTTTTAATCGCAAGAGGAGTTTAATGCAAATCCATTCTCATTTTGGGTTGTCTATATATTAAAATTTAGTACAAAACTACTGGACCGAAAGAATTACTGCTAAATTTTGAAACTAAGACTAAACTAAGACTGTAAGTGAAAATGTTACCTTTTATATGGGGGCCGAAACACAATTATAAATTTGAATATTACTGACTTTGTTGCATCTTTGTAGTTAAATTATGTCTGGTTTCACAAGTATGTAGGGGATGGCCGTTTTTAGGTCCCGTGGGTTCACCTCCACCTCACGGGAAACATCGTGATTTGAATTCGATTTCCAAATAAAATTTCAAATATATAAAAAAACGCTTTTAGCGTTTTTCCATTAAATTAAGCTTGGAATAAGATCGGCTCCATTCCGTGCAAACAGTGTGAAATATCACGTCATTAAAAACAATTGAAAATCCAATGGATTATCATGATAAAAATTTAGATTAACATTAGACCATCTTTTGTGTCTAAGTTTTCGTCGTGAAGTGAAGTGACAGTTCTTTTCTTAGTTTGTCTTGGCGGTAGGCAAAGAGAACAATGTCCATTCAGCCTACTGCTCGATAAAGGCAGAAACACACTTACCCAAAAGTGCACAGATTAAAGAAAATGGGCGCGAGATAAAAAAACGACCAGAGAGACAACCAAAAAAAATCTTCTATCTCGCTCTTCGAGCGAAGGAGATCCATGTGACGTTTTTAACACGTTACATTTCACCCTTCCCCGAATAAAGCATCGAGAATCGAGGCTGAAAAAACTACAGCTAAAGTCCAAATACTAAAAGTCAAAACGAAATCCGTTGAATTATGGATGAAAACGAAAACCCAAAGTGAAAAGAAAATAACTTCAAATAAAGTTATCCAAATACCAAAACATCATCTAACTATAGAGTCCTTGGACAAAAGGTCACAAGTCTCAAAACAAAAGCTGTTAAACTGAATTAGTCACAGACCCAAAATTATTAAAAACCTAAAGCAAAATGCTCTAAAATAAAAGTATGCAAAGCTTACTACAAAAAATTCAACCACTATCATCATCATTATTGAGATCTGTCGAACATAAAAAGTCGCAGACTCTAAAAAATCTCTAAATTCAAACTACTCTAACTAAACCCTGGTGAGATCTGTTGGACATCTAAGTCGCAGACTCTAAAATTTCCTAAACTAAAACTCCTTCAAAACCTAAACCCCCGTGAGATCTGTTGGATATTAAAATCACAGACTCCTAAAATTTCTTAAACTACTACTCTTAACATTAATTTCTGAAGGTCTGTTGGACAACGAGGTCACAGACAGAAAACTACAATCTACTCCTACTACCAACTCTTGGGAGATCTGTTAGACAACTATGTCGCAGACTCTAGAAAAATCTCTCCCCAGTACTGCTATACTAGAAAGTCGCAAGTACTATTAGTTAAATCCCCAAAAAAGTTCGAGATGAGTGGCAAAATTGACACAAACTCATTTAAGCCACAATCATGGTCGGCACAACACCACCGGCTTTCCGAACATGATGTGCAAAAGGCGTCGAGAACAAACAGTTCGACAAAAAAAATGTAGTGACGAAAGTCAAAACAGCAAAAAATTTGGCGAAAACCAAAACGTGACATTCATGGCCGACTCAACACCAACGACTTTCCGGACATGAAGCACCCAAAACAAAAGTTGTAACTACATGATCGGCACAACTCCACCGAACTCCCGAGCATGAAGCACAAAAACAAACAATTGATGTCCATAAATATGGGCAAACAAAATACCAAAACAATATGGCAAAACCAAAAAGCGTCAACAATGTTGAACAAAAAGTCGAAATTGCAACTTCATGATCGGCACAACACCACCGAACTTCCGAACATGATGTGCAAAAACAAATAATTGATGTCCACAAATATGGGCAAACAAATTACCAACACAAAGTGGTAAACCAAACAAATCGTCAAAAATATTGAACGAAAAAAGTCTAAATCATGGATGTCAAATCCAAGGAAAAATGTGGGGATCCCAAAATGTCAAATCCGGGTGTAACAATTATCACACACACAAACTTCTACACAAAACAAATTGTTATAAAACAACAAACATGCAGAAACACCACACAACTATAGTACTAACAAATAAGTTTGTACAAAAATAACAAACAAGGACATATAAAATCCTAATAAAAAATGTGTCCATACAGATAAAACATCTGCATGAAACAAAAGGTTATAAAATCTTATGATGCAGAAAACAAGTAGGCATACTACGTAAATTTAAATTTTACTAAAAATTTTGCAAAGTCAAATAATATAATGGCAAAACTTGAATTTAATAAAAACCAAAAAGTCAATGAGTAAAGTCTAATGTATTCGAGTAATATCACTTTCTTTCATCACCTTACAAGGGGAAAATCTTACATACTTCACGCAAAAATTCAACTTACAATCCCCAAAATTACCCAAGTTACAAAAGTCAAAACACAAAGATATGTTTATGTTTAACAAAACTAACCAAACAATAGCTAAGCAATCTAAATTTTCAAAATGTCTTTAACATGGTAACGACCAGAAGTACCTTTAACCAAATCCTTCAAAACATAAACATTATTAGAAATTTTATCAATAATCTTACATTTAATAAACTTCGGAGCTAGTTTTGCCGAAAAATAATGAGCAGCACTAGATTGAACAAAATTCCTTCTCCAAACAATATCACCTACATCATAAGAAGTGACTTCACGACGCTTGTTATAATAAGAAGCATTACGTTTATATGCTTTAAATAAAGTTCCAGTAACTTTAACAAAAATACTTTCAAGTGAAGAAAGTGAATGAGCAAAAGCAGAACGGTCAACAAGATCGATCTGTGATAAATTATCAAAGGAATTACTAAAACGGTGCAATGACGCATCAACAATTAACTCCCTACCAAACATTAGGAAATTCGCAGTGAACTCCGTAGCCAAATTAACACTACTATTCAAAGCTAACTGAACATGTGGAAGAAATTTCGACCAAGTTCTATGATCATCACGAACGAAGCAAGAAATGCAAGTTTCAACCGTTTTATTATAACGCTCCACTGGATTATTCTGAGGCGTATATAAAGTATTATAAAATATTCTATCAATATTAAAACCTTTAAGAAAATCTACAAAATTTCTAGAAGTGAACTGAGTACCGTTATCACATACAACTATTTTTGGACATCCGAACTTAAGGAAGATATCTTTTTCTAAGAACTTACACATTGATCTAGTCGTTGCATTAGCCAAAGGAAATAACCAACAATATTTTGTAAAAACATCTACTACAGATAATATAAATTTATGACCAGAATAAGTTTTGGGTAAAATTCCAATTAAATCCATACTTAACATTACCATAGGTCTATCTACTTTTTTGGGATTAATCATAGTTCCAAGTGGTTTAGAAGTCGAATGCTTATAAGCTTTACAAATATCGCAACTATTAATATATTTATGAACATCATTAAACATACCTTTCCAAAAGTAATGTAGTTTTATTTTATGCAAAGTTTTATGAATTCCTAAATGACTCGAATTTAAATCATCATGATTATTTCTAATAGAATCTAAAATATGTTCTTTTGGAACAACAATTTTCCAATCTAAACTATTATTAACGCTATATTTTGATTTACAAAATCTATACAAAGTATCATTTTCTACTCTAAAATTTTTATATCTAGAAGGGAATTTTTGACAATTGACAAAAATCTTTCTATACCAAGGATCTACGATGTCATCGTAAGGCGAAACAATTTGATTTGAATTTACTGTCAACGCAGCTATATCGTAACGAGAAAGAGTATCAGGAACTACATGCAAAGAACCTTTTTTATGAATTATATCAAATGTAAATTGTGAAATTCTAGCAGCCCATCTAGCCAAGCGACCAGAAGGATTATTTAAATTTAAAAGCCATTTTAAACTAGCATGATCCGTTACTACGGTAAACTTCATTCCTTCAATATACGGCCTAAAATGTTCAATAGAATCTAAAATTGCCAAAAGTTCTCTCTCAGTCACACTATAATTACGTTCACACTTATTAAGAGATCTAGAATAAAAAGCAATAGGATGTTGATCACCGTTATCATCTTCTTGACTCAGAACACTACCAATACCAACAGAACTAGCATCACAATGCAAAAAGAAAGGTTTTTTGAAATTTGGACATTCAAGCACAGGAGCTGTAATTAAAGAATTCTTAAGATTTTGAAAAGATCCTTCAGCATCATCATTCCATTCAAGACTTGTTTTTATCTTTTTGCTTCCACCAGTCAATTTAGTTAAGGGTGAAGCTATATCCGCAAATTTTGAAATGAATCTACGATAATACGAACAAAGACCTAAAAAACTACGAAGTTGTTTTACAGTCTTAGGACGAGGAAAATTTTCTATAGCATCTAATTTTGAAGGATCAGTGTGTAAACCTTTACTATCAACTACATAACCCAAATAACGTAATCTTTCTTTACAAAATTCACACTTTTTTAGATTTACTGTCAAACCAGCATCTTTTAAAACTTT